GTGGCAGTGCATCCTCTGGTTGATGTAAAGAAACCAACAGTACTGACTGGCAGCAGCAGCTTCCTGGGCACGGGAACAGAGACGATGCCATACACTGGGGGTAGGGATATACGCACCACCAACAGAGCCACAGCAGCCTGTCACCTTGTATGGGACAGTACAGGGACAGCCAATCCTGCCCCCGCCCCATAGCCTCTCTGCACCGGGACAGTGGAAAGCTTGGCCAAGATAATGGACCCTAGAACTGCAGTGGCTACCTCCTCGGAACATTTAATAGCAAAGCCAACATGACCACTGTTGTTCTCAGTTGTGACAAAAGCCTTGAACCTGCTCCCCTGAGTACCTTGAGTCTGCTTCTGAATGGGCATGAACTTTAGACCTTCATCCTTTAGGAACATGCCCAGGAAAAGCTCAATAATCTCAGAGTCATTAATGGGCAGGGAGAACAGGTAGATCTCCTCCAGGGACATGATCTTCATGCCCTTAGCCAGGCAGCCCAGCTTGGTGATGGAGACCTACTTCTTGTCTTTGGCGTCACCTCCATGAGTCCTGTGGCCTCAACCACAGCCAAGGGCCTCGACCACAAATGCAGCCCATAAGCCCACTGCCTCGACCACAACTGTGGCCCATAAGCCCACTGCCCGTCTTGACCTCCTCATCCTGAGCCCCTGGGTCTGTTGAGCCCTCCCACTGCACCAGCATCATCTGTCATTTGTTGTTTTCCCAAGTGACTGGGACTTTTTTATAGACTCCTATTTGTATGCATATATGTGTATGATTATGTGTGTGTGTGTGTGTGTGTGTGTGTGTGTGTGTGTGTGTGTGTGTGTGGAACCCAGAGCTCAGCAATGAATGTTTTCCTCAGCTGCTTTCTACCTTTATTTTTTATTTTATTTACTTTTTATTTATTTACTTTTTTTTTTTTTTTTACCATAGGTGCTCAAGCATTCCTTTCTGTGGTGATGCTTTCCTTCAGGGCTCACTTGAGGGCTGCTGAAGTTGGCACTGGTGTGGAAATTTGGAGCCACTTCAGAGAGGAGAGGGCGTTTCCTGATGTTCAGTGAGGACCTGTGCCAGCCTCATGGCAGATCCAGGAAGGGTGACCACAACCTGCCTTTGCTTATGGACGTGACCACCTACATGGTAATTAATAGCCAAGGCAAGATAGTGCTTACTTGTTTATTTGTTTATTTAATTATTGTAGTTCTGGGACTAGAACCCAGGGCCATGTGTATGCTAGGCCAGCTGCAGCCGCCAGCCAAGATTATATATTTAGCCAATAACCTAACCGTAGAGCTTGAACCTGGGGAAGCTAAGGAAATCACATCAGTGTGACTTGAAATCGTGAAGTGGGAGGTTCATGACACTCTAGAAGCTTCATGATTGGGTAAGCAGAAGCTGGACAGTACACCACAGGGTGACATTTGCTGGGACAGGTGAGGAAGGAATGTTCAAGAAGCCAGGCTACATTGCTAGGAACTTAGTGATGATGCCGGGGTCAGTACAATGGTGGAGAGATAAGATTAGAAAAGTGGAACTATTCCGCATTAAGTAAGGTCGTGAAAATCTAAGAGCTCCTGCCTGAAGCAGCCTGCACGGGGCGGGAGTGCAAGCCTGAAGCGGCTGCCACACAGTGAAGGCAATGCTCCACCAGGCAACCAAGTTCCTCAGCGAGGTTTTCAGGATGGCTAATTGCTAGGACACCAATAAACACGTGGAATCGTGTTCTCCGTCTCCCAGACAAGCCCCCACACCCTGTTTCATCAATCCTTTGTGGTTTGAAACCACCTAAAACAAAGTCTCCCTTTCACCCCAACCATCAACTCCTTTTCCGGCTTCATTTAATCCACATGTGTTTTCCATTGCTTCACACAAATCCCCCTGAGAGGAAAAACGGCTCCACCCTCCCTCCAGCTAGGGAAGTAATCTATTTCTACCTGGAACAAGACCATGGTGTGGCCTCAACATGTCACAGACTGGGGTTCCGAAACAGCAGCTAAGCTTTCTAAACCTCTCTTGGGACTGCTCTTTGAGTCCTTTCTGAGCCGGGTGAGCACTCAAAGGCCTCCTTAGGAACCCAGGCAGTGGGTCCCTGAAGTGTTAAAGGGGAAAGATCTGTGTTTCTACTTGGAAACATGGATGCTGGTACACAGGAGCCAGCATGGTTGTAGTAACACAACTGAGTAACTTCTGACCTAAGGAGACAAAAGGGCTGCTGAACTTGCCGGGAATCACCTGGATAAACTACTAGGGCCTCAGGCCTTGTGGTCCTTGCCTAGGGCATCCCTGTGATGGGGAGGTCCGTCTGCAACAGTTGCTCAACCCAGAGACAAAAAGGAATAACCGTGAAAGAAAAGATTTGTAAGCCCAACATATTTAAAATAAGTTTGTTCAAAGTCTATCATTAAGAAATTGAAAAGCACAAGCCACAGTCTGGGAGAAATGTGCAGTACGCACATCTGGCAGTGGCCTTAGATCCAGAATATCAAAAGGACTCCTCCAGCAGGAAGTTTTAAGCCAGCAGAAGACGCTTACGGTCATTTCGCAGAAGCTACTGTAAGCAAACAGTATCTGGAAGGGGGTGCAGAATCATTAGTCCTCGGTGAACACAAAGGAAAACCAGAGTTGCTTGTTACTTCCCACCCCCTAAGGACGGAAACTAAAAGACTAGCAAAGTAAATACCATCAAGAAACCCTTACAACTGGAATTTTCTTACAGCATTAAAGGGACTATGAGCTCCCACATGCTTGCCCACGGCCAGCCTGATGGAGGCAATTCCTCAACTGAGACTACCTCTTCCAGGGGCCTCCAGCTTATATCAAGTTACCAAAGCCATAAAAAGGTACAGATATTGATCAGCTTTGCTCAAAATAGTACAGAAGTTTAAAAAATACAAATGTATATAAACAGATGACAAGACATTTTGATGCATTAGTGTAATAGAATATTATTTAACAATGAAAAGGAATAAATTACTAGTACCTGGAACAACATTCATAAATGTCAGTAGTATTATAATTTGAAAAAAAGATGCCAGACACAAAAAGTAAATATGAAATTAAACGAGTCTACCTCTATGAAGATTTAAACTAGACAATGAACGCTAACTGATAGAAATCAGAATACCGGCTGCCCCTCTTGTGGGGAACTAGCTGGAACTGAGTATACAGGAACTTCCTGGGTTGACAGAAAGTTGTTTATCTCGAGGAGGGTGGATATTACATGAGTGTGTGCAGATGTCAAAATTTATCAGACGGTGCACCTAACACCTACATGTTTTATTGTGTGGGAATGACACCTCAATCTGTTAGGTACTGAACAAAGAGATCTGTCCTCTGTCTTTTCTTTCAACCCTGGGCTTAAGGTTGGTGATTAAACCAACCCCTAAAACAGACTAGCTGATCCCAGTTCTGTGTCCTGCAATACAGTTCCTCACCGAGCTGTGACTGTTCTCTACAAGGTCTACTGGATAGTGGGAACTCCTTATTTGCCTAAGACATCTTATTTGCCTAAGATGAGTTCTACAGCAACCCTTAGACATTATTGATGGGAATGTAAATGAACCCCACCACTAGGGAAATTAGTATGACAGTTCCCCCAAAGTAAAAACTACCATGTGGTCTGGCTATGGCCCTCCTGGGTATGTACACAAAGGACTCAGAGGCAGAGGACAACAGAAATAGCTACGTGCTACGGACTCGGCCTAGGTACCCATCAATAGAGGTATGGATAAAGAATGTGTGACATATATATTTTTAAAAAGGAGCATCATTCAACCATAAAGAACAAATTTCAGCTGGGGAGATGGCTCAGTAGGTCAGGCACTTGCTGTACAGGCGTGAGGACCTGAGATGAGATCCCCAGCACCCATGTGAAGGCAGAGCATGGTGACCTGTAACCCAATGTTGGGGGACAGAGGCAGGGCATGGTGATCTGTAACCCCAGTGTTAGGGGATAGAGACAGGGCATGGTGACCTGAAACCCCAGTGTTGGGGGACAGAGGCAGGCAGGACCCAGAAGCTCACTGGCTACCTAGTCTAGGGGAGAGTGACAGGAAGATTCTGAATGACCTTCACAAGTACATAAGTGCACGCTCATGCATGTGCACACGCAATAAGAAAAACAAATAAATAATAAAAACAACAAAATTCTGTCATTTGCAGGGAAATGGATGAAACCAGAGACCTCTGTGTTAAGCAAATTAAGGCAGCCTCAGAAAGACAAATTTCTCCCAGTTTCTCTCGGGTGCACAGCTTAGATTTAAAAAGATAAAGACATGGAAGCAGAGAGGAAATTATTTGGGAAGAGGAAAGGAAATAGCTCAGGCTGGGGGGAAAGAGTAGCAAGGGGGGGTCGGTATCGTCAAAGCGCACTCCACGTCTATGGAAATGTCACAGTGAAACCCATATTAGTATCATACGTTGATCTAAGAAATGTCCCCTGGACTGAAGAATACGGCGGTGAGCTGAGAGACTAAGATGTGTGTGGCTGTAACTGATGGCCTTCCAAATGGAGCAAGCAGAGGTGAGATCTGGGGGTTAGGAGACCGTGGGCAGCAACTGGGGTTGGGTAGGCAGGACAGAGAATTTCCTAGCATCATATCAAAAACCAATATTGATGTGGGAGTGTCATATATCAATCTGTTGATTTCATTGGTTAAGTTATAATAAACCAACTGCTTGGCCTCATAGCTTGGATGGGAGGAGAAAACAGAATAGGATGCTGGGCGGAAGAGGAAGTGAGGTCAGTCTCTGCTCTGCTTCCTGAGAGAAGCCATGCTCAGCTCTCCCGGGTAGACCCAAGAGCTCTGCTCTCTGGAGCAGAGACACCACGATGGACTTTGGCTAGAATCTTCCTGGTAAGCGCACCTTGGGATGCTTACACACATCATTAGAAATGGGCTAGTCCAGGTGCGAGAATTAGCCTGTAAGGGCTAGAGTTCATGGGCCAAGCAGTGTTTAAATGAATACAGTTTGTGTGTTGTTATTTCGGGCATGAGCTAGCCATGCGGGCGGCCGGGTGCTGGGGACGCAGCCCTGCCGCTCCTATTTCAACAGATGGCGCCCAGACGTGATGGCTAAATCCACTTAAAAACCTGAGAAGGCTTAAAAATAAGGGAGAGAGAGTTTAACACAGATTTTTGCTGTTTTGTTGGTGGCGTTCTGTAGAGAGATTCCTGATTCAGCAACAGCAAAAAAAAAAAAAAAAAGCCGCGTCATTTTAAAGCGCTGCTTCCTGGAGCTATGCTGCCAGCGTGAACTCTGGCTTTAAAGCATTTCAAGGCTTTTACGGGACTGGATGTTTGTGTTCCCGCTTGGGATCGGAGGAGAGTGCTCTGAGACCATGCTGATGGCTCAGCATTCCCTGCCTGCACCTGGACAGATGGCGGAATCAGGCTTAGGCAGGCGGAAGAGCATGGCGGATTCCTGCCGCCATACAGAGACGCGTTTTCAGACTGCGCATTGCTCTGTGTGTCAGATTTTGCTGTAACTTGGATTAAAAAGAGTTTCTGTGCTGCACACTCAGTCTCAGAATTAAACTGCTGATTGTGGCTCCAATGTGGGCTGCTGTGTGCCTTGAACTGTGTGTGGTTCAGGGGCACCAAATGGCTCTGAGGCAAGAGCGGCTCAGCTCGGCTCTGCCATGCTGAACTGAGCTGGTCTCAGGCAGGAACTACTGTAATTACCTTAAAACTGCGTAGTTAAGGTTTAGACTGGGCAGGACACAAGCAGTACCGTATTACCTGCACATGGTGCAACTTAAGTTTTTAAGAAGTGCTTAACATTTAAAAAAAAATGCTCCTGGATAGTAAAAAAATTACAGATTCACAGTAAAACAGATTCAGACACTGTTGCATGAATGTACGTAGGCTTGGGAGAGAGAAGAAAAAGAATATAAAGAATAAAGTTAATGTCTTAAAAAGAAAAAGGGTAAAGTCTTTAAAGAGACAGAGTACAGAAGTACAGATAGTTATAGATTAAGAGAAATAAAGAAAAATAAGCCACGTAAAAATGGAAAATTCACAGAGAGTCTGGATTATGTACATTGTGTTTTCTTTAAAATTTTTGACTGTGAAGGAGCTAAGTACAGAGAGACATTTCATTACATGGGCTGCCAAGCTAAACCAAAATGGATATAAGGGTATTACGATTTCAAAATTTGGGTCTAAGGATATGATGCTTTGGAGAGGGTCTTCTTTTGTTTTTGCAGAGGATGAGACCCAATGGATTGCATCTATTCCGATTTGGTATGATAGACCACGCCCTCCTGAAAGGTTGCTGTGAATACCTTCCCAAAATTGCTTCACTCAACTGCCAACTGAGATGAAACTAGCACACAGGTTATACCATAAACGACCTAATTAACGACGCCCCTATTCAGCAGGAAGCAGTTTGGAGAGAAGAAACTACACCCATGTTCCCAAATACTGTTTATAACTGTTCTTTTACATTTAAAGGGGGATATGATATAGATATGAATAATTTGCATTGGCATGGATTTTAAGGTCAATTTTGTTATATGTATTTCTGATCTTGATTAAGGTATTATGATTGTGTAGTTCATTTAAAATATAATGTGTAATAGGAAATATAGGTTGCTAATGGATAATCATCACTAATAGTTAAGCTTATAATCATGTTACTTAGATTTTCTAGATATATAGAGATATATTTTAGTTAGATAGGCATTCTTCATATCTTTCAAAGGCTGCAGAATATGGCATTTAAGATATTTTAATAACTTAGGACTTTTCATGACAATGAGACACGTCTGCTCCTGGCAGCACCAATCTACTTCAAAAGGAAGATGGGCATCGAAGAGGATCCTTATGGAGTTTGATAGACATTTGGGCAAGAAACTGCTCTTGCCTGGACTATTGCATAAACTGGACACAGAGAACCCGCAGAGAGAGGACTGCTGAACTTGCCTAAAGGTGAGATGATCTTTCGGGGTTCCTGATTCATGAAAGAGTCTGCAAGACATTCTTCAAGACAAGCAGATAGTGACTGCCTTTGAAAGTTCCTGCTTTGTGGAAATGTCTGCTGGAAACTATGGGCCTCTAGGCTGAAGATGGATGCCCCAACGGTACAGAGGAACTTTGGGTGAATGTCCAGGCAGCGAGATGTCTCTGTCATTTCTAGAGCTTTGGATGTTAAGTTAAAGCCTTCTTTTTTTTGTTTAAACAGAAAAAGGGGAAGTGATGTGGGAGTGTCATATATCAATCTGTTGATTTCATTGGTTAAGTTATAATAAACCAACTGCTTGGCCTCATAGCTTGGATGGGAGGAGAAAACAGAATAGGATGCTGGGCGGAAGAGGAAGTGAGGTCAGTCTCTGCTCTGCTTCCTGAGAGAAGCCATGCTCAGCTCTCCCGGGTAGACCCAAGAGCTCTGCTCTCTGGAGCAGAGACACCACGATGGACTTTGGCTAGAATCTTCCTGGTAAGCGCACCTTGGGATGCTTACACACATCATTAGAAATGGGCTAGTCCAGGTGCGAGAATTAGCCTGTAAGGGCTAGAGTTCAGGCCAAGCAGTTCTTAAATGAATACAGTTTGTGTGTTGTTATTTCGGGCATGAGCTAGCCATGCGGGCGGCCGGGTGCTGGGGACGCAGCCCTGCCGCTCCTATTTCAACACAATATAAGTTTCAAATTGTTGGCTGTGGGACATGTCACATCCTGGTATTGGCTGTGCTTTGCTCACGGTAGTGGGTCTCTGAATCCTAAGTGAAAGACGCCATCTTGTCAAGTTTCCCACCTTACTATTGAGCATCACCTGTCCCCATCTCCACTGCTCCTGCCTTTTCAGGGGCTATTCCAACCTCTACTGCAGGCAAATGAAGGCTCCAGAGGAGATGGACCACACTCCGGCATGCCTTCTTTAGTCCCCTAGCGGGGAGGTATGCCTTCTTCAGTTCCCGGGGTAAGGGACTGGAGGGGAGCCATATTTCCCACACCAGCTGCTACCAGAAGCCGGTTTGCTGTTAGTTCAAAGCCCTATGCCTAACCAGGATGACTAAACAGGGTTTTGGGTTTGAGTGTGCTGTGCTCTGTGTGTTGGTTTCATCTTCAAGATCCCAAGGTGGTTTTGTTTTTTCTTTAACATGCTAGATAGAGCCCAGGGCTTTGCCCATATTAAGCAAGCTCCCTCACTGAGATCTATCACAACTCCAACACCAGTATTTGGTTTTATTTTCATTTATTAAACAAGGTCTACTTGTTGGATCCCTGACTGGCCTCAAACTCATGGTGGTCCTCCTGCCTCTGCCTCTCCAGGGCTGGATTACAAGCATACATCATCCTGTCCAATTCCCAATACCAAGTTAGGATTAAGTGCTTTAAGCAGTGAAATTGGGACCATGACTGAGTCACCACTTCAAATTCAGCTACTGTTTGTAGGAGAGAATAGTCCATTAACTTAAAAATATAAGTAGCTAAAGGTAGCTGTGACTGAAACCTTATTATGAGTATTACAGCAAACAAAACCAGTGACATCATCCATCCAAGAAGCTAAGGTATAATTAAGTCCATGAGCATTTTAGTCAGCACAGATGGAGCATCTACCATGTTCTAGTCATTCCTTCAATCTCACAAACAGTTCTCACATGATCTAAGGATCATGCATTCCAGGCGTTCTGTATGTTCTGGGACCTGACTTATGTTGCCACCGATTGGTAACTCTTACCACGGAGAACTGAGATTCCTATGGTAGCCCATCCTGCTCTGAGTTGACCACAACTGCTAGCAAGTTCTCCCTTAGGCTAATGCCTAAGTTCCACTCATGACTGCTGTGTGGGGTAGGATCAGTGCTTGCCCTCCACAGAGAAAATCAATTTGCCCCTTTCTCTTAGCAGCTACCTTCTACCATGTGACTCCACGTAAGTTGAAGGCTGTTTTCCTCAGACCTGGAAGTTGACACTTTGCCAAGGAGCTCTCTGTCAGAAATGTACGCTTCCGAGGTCATTCAAACAATGTCAAGGCGCTAGAGTTTGGGCTTCTAGCTGCTGTTTGGCCCATGTGATTAAAAACACAAGAGGAACAAATTAATCGTTTGGGCGCTTGGTGGTGAGTCATGAAATCCATAAAAGGTCCAGCCTCTGGCCCCTGGCATGGAAGATGGATAACTTTTCCCCCTGACTATGATCCCCTTTATCCCCCAGAGGCAGAGGCTCTCAGAAGGGGCACTGATGAAAGTGTCTGCTCACCCTGCATGAGGAAACGCTCGGCTTAAGTGGAAGAGGGTGGAGAGATGGCCAAGAGAAATAGGCTGAAAGAAAAACACCAAGTTTTAAAACTTAATTATGCTTCAAGACAATAAAATAATTTGTTTATGGGAAATGAGTTTGAATTTAGAGTCTTTTCCCACTCAAATGATCAATAGCATGAGAAGGAGCAAGAAAGAACTTAGTTTTCCTACCCACGTGCCCACCGTGAAGAAGTTAATCAAGAAACTACTTTGGCAAAACAAAAAAAGAGCTGAAGAAAGGGAACGAAATAGGATCAAAGGAACAGCGTCAGTCAAACATGAAGCAGAAGGGGAAGCCATTAGACTGAGCAAGCAGAAATTTCTAGAACCAGAAGACTGAACTTCTGTTTTGCTGGGCTCATTTAATTTTAAGAAAGGCCCTCCTGGAATAATTCACAACTCACTGGAAGTGTTTAGCACTTAGAGGGCCTTTGATCCATCTCCTCTTCTTCCACAGTTTCAAATCCGCTCACATGCAGCAGTGGCCCGCACGGTGGCCGACATCAGCAAATTTCCAGACCCCAGCCTGGTGCGTTGCCAAATGATTCATCTCTAGCCATCGCCTAGGAAATGTCCTACTACAAGGAAAAGAAAAGGGCCGAATTCAAAGATCTTGAGCTTGTGCTACTTTTTGGAGACAAAAATTAGGACATAAAACCAGACTAGTAAGTAAGATTGTATCTTTAAGAACCAAGCAGATAGAATATTTAAAATCAAGCCATTCTTGACAATTCAGGACAAATGGGACTAACATTGTCCTGGGGTACCCGTGGAGGAAACACAACAAGATGAAAATCTGAGGCCCTCACCCTGGGGTGCCCTGGTGATCTCCTTGCCCATGAACTCCTCTCTTCAGTTTCTCCGTGCTGCCAGAGCCCCACCCCCTGTCAGGGTGAATACCCTTAGTGTTCCCACTGGCTCACACCTGTGTTCTCCTCCAGTTTGCACTCCTTACAGATTAGTCTGATGATTGCATCTGACAGCCTGGACTGGGGACAGGTGGCCATGTGGAAAGCATCATCCCAGCCTCTTCTCTCTTATCCCTGGTTTAGCTCAGGCCCCACTCTTTCTGCCCTCCTCAGCCTGCAGCTGGCAGGCATATAGGAAGCTTGGGAGTTGTAACGCTAGTATGATCTTGGGAGCAGAATGGGCTGGGGAGTAATACATCTTACTCAATATTTGAAGTCGCTTATCAAAGTGTTTCTGCCCACCTCTTACACCATTCTGTTTAGATGGTTGGGAGGTGGAGGCAGGAGGATCAGGAGTTCAAAGTCATCTTTGATTATATAGTGAGTTCATTGCCAGTTCAAGGCCATGAACTCAATAAAATAAAATAAACAAATAAGTAAATAAATAAGGTCTGAAAAGCAAAACTTTCTATCTTATTGCAACCCTTGTATTGTTTTGGTGTTTTCTTTTAGGGTAGGACCCTCAACACAACCATAGAGCTAACTGGTCCACCTCTCGGTGAATTCTGAACACAAGCCCTCAGGAGAACGGTAATTCTAGTGATTTATACACTCAGAACATACACTTGTAGCCCCACCTCTTGTTTCCAGGGTTCCTTCAAGTGACTCATTGGTCTTGGCCACCAGAATGCCCTGGTGACAGATACAGACTAAGATAAGAGCTGCAGGCCTCCCGTCCCTCAGGCCATGGGTGTCATATTTGGGGAGTTCTGCCACAAGACGGTGATAAGGGCTGAGCAGACTGACTTCCCCACAGAGAATGTTTCATACCCATCAGTCCCCGGTGATGCTGCTCCTGAATCCAGAGAGGCAGTGGCGCCTCACAAATATATACCTGGCCACATGGCAACAGGGGGGCAGTACAGAGGGTTCTAGTTCACTTAAAGGATATATGGCCCCCATTCCACTCTCTCAACAAATATAGGAAAATGTGATTACTGTCCCAGAACTGAAAGCGTGTGACTGCTGAACCCTTTCCATTTCTAACTCATCTGCTAATCCAGGATTTGAACAAGCAGTGGAGGTGAAATCAGGCTTGCTTGCACGTGTGTTGCTCACGGCACTTACTTACCCTGGAGATCAGACTCATCCTTCCTTGCACAAATGAGCTATCCCAGGCCCAGATTTCTCTAGGGATGCTGCCAGTTTTCCCACAGATGAGGGAAAGAAAACCACGTGTTTGAGGCTTAAATCAACAACTACGAAACACAGCAGAGAGAGGACATAGCTCATGACCCTCCTACATACTCCACTGGGGACTGGGGAGAAAAATCCAATGTCTTCAGAGGCCAACCTTAACCAGGAATAAGGAAGGAATGACAAGCCAGGTGTCATTTTGACAGCTGTTGATAGAAAAGACATAGGTGAAAAACAGAGCATAGTTATAGGATATAAGAGGAGAATCTCCATCATTAAAAACTCATACAGTGATTCAGACTTTTGTCTCCATGGAAACAGCATCAGCTCTGCTAAGTGTCCCCCAAGGACTTAAAGTAGGGAAGGCCTTTCATTAACCACCACACCCCGTGCGCCCTCTTGTGGTGAACCTTTGAGTAACGTGGACGAAGTCACAAATTTTTTTTTCCCCAAAATCGTCAATAGTCAACTATTTTTGACTAGTTTAAGAAAACACGCGGAGTTTTCCTTTCTAATTAAAAACTAAAGAAGAATCCATGGCATGTTCTCCCCTGGATCTAAGAGTTAGTAAATATCAGTTGTAATTTCCTCACCCCAAAGTCAGCAATCTTTAAAAAAAAAAAAGGAAGAAAATTTGAGGAAGTTACTTGACAGTTTTACAGAAAAACATTCTTACATGACAATCACCCTTTCATTGGAGAAAAGCTTCACCCAGCATTTAAGGAGCTGGGCGCTGTTGTGCCGGTTCCTGTCCGCCTGTTGTGCCGGCTCCTATCTGCCTGTTGTGCTGGCTCCTGTCTGTGTGGTACAAAGGGAAGAGTGTATTCCAGTTATGGTCCTGGACAGAGTGGGTCCACATCGCCTGGGAGGAAACCTGAGATCTGAACATGTAGATCCTGATTCCTACTTTCTTTGATTTTCAGAGAGAAGTAACCATCGAACCTTATGAGTACCAGGTGCAGATGAGCCACTTAAGAAAACATCTCATAACTGACTGTACCAGCAGAGCAGGATGGGAACTAAGGCCCCACAGTTGACAGTGGATATCAGTGCTCACATTCACACACTACACCACATTGGTTAGAGGTGGTGTTAGGTTCTGCATTTTCTGCGGTTATGATACCAGCGTGTTTGCAGACAGTGTCATGGGAACTAGGCGACTCTCAGGGTTTTGTTACCCCGCCCAGCCTCCCAGCA